CAATTTTTAACTCTGCCTACTCGAAATTGAAGTAACTGGTCCCAAACCAGGATAAAAGAGGATGGTTTATCTTTAAAAAAAGGTTTACAAAAGATATATCTAAAAAAATGTTTAGAAAATGTATATCTTTTTTTTAAGGTTTAGAAAATGTATAGTATAGCTAAAAATAATAATAATTTAAAAATCGAGCTCGTGACAGGCCGAGCCAAGCTTGACCCACGAGTAATGAGCCAAGCTTGCTCGGCTCGTTACAAACAAGCACAAGCTCAGCTCGTGACGGGCCGAGCCGAATGGCCCATTGCCATCACTATTCATACAGCTCACGACATCTTCAATCCTCCAACACAAACGGCACCCAGTCTTTCTCACACACATGGCACTTTGCACATGACAATTTGCATCTCAAATATTCTCCCTAAAAAATCCACCACTAGGCATTGAGTTTAATTGCTCATTAATGAATTTTATCCACTACACCTAAGCTAGTCAAAGGAAATTCTAGGTAATGTATCTCCTTTTTTCTTCCCCTCTAAATATTATTAGGTTCATTCAATGAATTTTGTGTTTGAGAAGAAGTATGGCATTCGGTAGATGATCAATATTTGGTTTTGAGTTTGAATTGAGAAAATGTGGCTTGATTAAAATCCTAGTTTCTTAATTTTAGGGAAAAATAGGTCGCATTCCAAGTGTGTGATCAAATGCCTAAGTCGAGATTCTTGTCAATTTAGGGCTAAACTAGCAATTGGATTGATTGATATATATTTGGAATTGCCTCTGGTGTTTAAATTCATTGAAGTTGTTAGTAGAAAACACCAAAACTGACTTAGCACATCATAGATTGACATGGCTAGGCATCATTAACTTCACTTCACCAACTTCGTCCCACACCTCTTCTAACCCAAACAACCTCCGTTTGACCTCAAATTTGAATATGAGTAAAACCAACATATAATCTTTCAATACCCTGAGATCGCTCGGGAAAAGTTTACTTTTTCTTCACGCATTTTGGTGATGAAAGTCATTGGTTGACTTTGGGTTAAAATGCGAAAATTACCTCTTTTATGTTAGTTTATGGAGTGTGAGGTATATTTTCTTCATCTATTGAATACATACCCTATGTCATGACAAATGTTTGAAGCATGGCACAAGTCTTTACTCTTTGGTGCATGAAAATTGACATATAGTAGTATAGTTTGTGGCCCCACTTTATGTTTGTTACCTATTATGATAATAGTTTTCGTCTTTTATATCTATATAGGTACAATGCCACTAAAGAGGAACGCTACCACTCAAGAGAAGGGAAAGTCCAAAGTGGGTGAGATATAGTTTTGTCGTTGGTTTATTGAATACTTCCTTGTGGAATGGCTTATTGAATACTTCTTTGTGAGGGACTCCTTGTGGAATGGCTTATTGATTACTTCCTTCGTTTGGCAAGAGGCCAACAAAAGGTGTCCATATTCCTTTCACCAATTAATAGATCTAGTATGCAATGAGATCCAGGTAGAAGATCTCCTCAGAGTCGAAGAAGGATGGAGCAAGGTCACACTGGAAAATTTAGGAGAGAAGCTTCTACATTTGCATCTAGATTGCCTAGATCACATATTATCACATGGATGGGTCTAAGGACAAAATCCATACATTCTTTATAGCACCCTTGTAGGGTATAAGTAAAGCGTATCTCTCCCTGAAAGACAGAAAGCAAAATTGTACAAAATCTATAGTACTAGATGCCACGATACTAATAAATGCTTTGAAGGGTTAAAAATAACAAGGTTGTGAAGCAAGCATGAGAATATGTATAGGATACCCAAGAGTCAGAGGTCAGCATGCCTAACAGGATGATAGGGTAAGGGAGTGAAACGAAGGCGTGCAGAGGCAAGCGTCAATCAATGTTACGAACCCATAACCTTCAGTGAGAGGAATCAATATTATAATCAATGTAAATATTCCATCTAGGAAGTGTTTTATTCTAATGCAAGGACATTGCCCCAGGGCATACAGGGCTAAAATTCTTGTGTAATTTCATTGGAAAGAATTTGGTTCTAAAGGAAAAAAATCATCCTAACGATAAAATTAGGAGAGAAGATAGAATGATCAAAAGAAAGAAATACATGCTTGAAAAGCCTTGTTTAGGAAAGTATTTGATACTGTAAAGGATAGTTGAAAAGCTTACCTACTAGTAAGGATAACTTCACAAGTACTAGGAAAAGCATGAATGGTAAAAATATTAAAGCAATGTTGGACTTTAAGTAAGGTCACAAGAATGAAAATTGAACAAAAAGTGATAAAAGGCGAGCCTCTTCTGACCTATTCCGACGTAGATATCAAAGACGTAGAGCTCCACCGAATGAAATTCTGACTAAAAGCGAGGTTTATAGATATCAAAGGTGTATATCTTCTCTTTTAGACCCGAAATGTCGCATTCAATCCTAGAAACATAGGCTGCATGTAGGGCTATAAATGCATCGGATATAGATCGGACCTGCCCATATCCGATCTGATAAGAATAACTCATGGATCCAATCTGATTCAACAATCCAATGTATATTTGATTGTTAATCCATATCCGATTTGCTATGTTATCGGATATCCGATTCGATAATTAGATCTGAATTTGAAAAATTTAGAAAGATAAAATCAATGTTGAAATTAACTTATTATTTAGGCCATATTTTAAACCAGTAAGACCCAAATAATGAAAAATCTAAGTAATGGCAAGTCCTTTATTTATAAATTATTCCTTTAGCTTCTTTTTTATGGAAACCGATGTGGGGTGACTTCTGACTTTTTGAAAAGCAAAAGAAATATCTCTACAAACAATTGATGGTGTATAGGTGGATAGACTTTCTTATTTTTTTTTATGTTTTCAATTTTATGATTTTTTTAATTCTAAATTTATTTATTTTCTCATTTATTTATTTTAGTGACAAAGAACATGCCATAAAAATATTTAACGGACTCGACTACCTATAACAGATCGAATTGGGTTGTTATTGGATTAGGTTGACCTATATCTATATTTACTCTATTTAATTAACGGATTATCGAATTCAAATCTTGATTGACTTATCGATTTGAGACTCTAAATCCATCTCCCATTAATTTAATTGGATTTGGATAAAAAAAAAAAAAAAATTCAATCCATTGACAACCCTAGCTGCATGGCTCTTCTTGGTTAATTCTAGATATGTAGAGATCTTTTTAGCATCAGCTACCAATGAAGCTTCCCTTGCAGCGAAAGCTTTAGCACCTTCACTCATTTCCTTATATTTGGCTTTCTCATTCTCAGCCTCCTCTAATTTCTCCTTAAAGGTATCGTACCTCATTTCCAAAGAATTGTCCTTTTTGTCTAGGCTATCCGCCTACAAAGTACTAAACTCATATTTAGATTGCTAGTCTTGATAGGGATATCATCTCTCATGAGGTAGTCGTCATCATTTTTTTGCCTTTGAGTAGGGGTAAGCTCATCCACAAGTTTTTCCTAAGATTGATTAAAGCATATGTGGACCTCGCTGCCTAGGGAAATAAAGGAAGAAGCCATGACAAAACCCCCGAATCTAATTCTTTGTTGCAGCGAGGGATAACAATAACCTAGAACCCGAGGTAAACCCCGTAGAAGAATAGGATACTCTGGGATCCATAATTTAGGGTGTGTTTGAGCCACATTATTTTAGAAGAATGTATTTTCACTACAACAAAAACAGCCTACGGCAACGTTCAAAAAACGTTGCCATAGGCCTACGGCAACGTTTGGACTTGTGTTACAAATCGAGATGTTGTCGTAGAGTAGAGAGATACAGTAACGTTTTTTGAACGTTGCCGAAAGTCTTCAGCAACGTTTAAAAAACGTTCCCGTAGAGATACAGCAAAGTTTGACAAATGTTGCGAAAGACAGCCTATGGCAACGTTTGGCAAACGTTTATATTCCAATAAAATGAATAATCATGAAAGTTTATATACTTTCAATAACTATACTTCAACAAAAACAGCATACGTTGCCGTAGGCCTACGGCAACGTTTGGACGTGTGTTGCAAGTCGAGGTGTTGTCGTAGAGTAGAGAGATACGGCAACGTTTGACAAATGTTGCGAAAGACAGCCTATGGCAACGTTTGGCAAACGTTTTTGTATCTATCTACGGCAATGTTTGGCAAACGTTGTGAAATACTGTCTTTCGCAACGTTTGCCTAACGTTGCCGTAAGGTTTTTTTTTTTTCAACAACAATTTATGCAAATAGATTGACAAAATTGAAAATGCAACTTATGAACAAATTTTGGAATTGCGTAAAAATTGATAATTTCATTACAAATATTTGAATCCATACACTTAAACATTAGAATGAGATACAACATCACTTAAATAAAAAGAAGTTTCAAAATGAGTGCTACAATTTGCTATAACTGTGTATACATGGCACATTCAATGAATTCCACTAAACAATCTATACGACAATCTTAACCAAAGTAACATCTCGGCTACATATATACATACAAAAATAATCGAAACTAGTTCAAATTTGAGTATTCATGTCAAATTGGTAGGGTAACAGAGCTCTTCCACATCAGATTCTTCAGGCATTGGGCAACTTTGAAGAAACAGTGTCAAGTTTCCAACTTGGAATAAACCAGACATCATAATTTTTTACCAAGTTATACGGCGAGAATAAAATGAGAAGCAAACAGAAGCAGCTTCTGAGGCTCCAGTTTTAAGCAGCCATCAACACTGAAGTATCACAGCTGATCATGAGAAAATCTTCAATTCTAAACCATCTCAAGAAGTACAGCCGGTTGCATTAGCACGGCCAGGGAGAAGGCAGCAACTGACTTCTCGCAGGCAATCATCCTAGGCTGCAATGCCATAAACAATCATGCAATCCAACAGTAAAATGAGTGATAAAGTAAACTCAAAAACAAGTAAAAGTTACTTTTAAGTTTAGATAAACAGTCTCTAATTTGAACATGTTCTTTGAAGCAATAATCCCAACATCTCCCTGTAGTTAAACTAGTATCCAAGACTGAACATTGCCATTCCAAGACCGGCATCAGACAAAATAGCTATCGATTTGGCTATTATTGCAGGCATCTCACCATGCCACCTGAAATAATTTTAAAAATTGGTCAAAACTTACAATGTCAACGGCTACATATGAGAATTTTTCAAAAAATGCGAGCATATTTACTTGAACGAGACCAAAGACCATGTGAGCCTAATAAGACTGGAATATGTGTTCGGATTCCTAATCAATTTCCGCCACACCATAATCAATATGAGCCGAGTCATCACACTAGTCGGAGGCATAGCTGTTGTCTTGGGCTTGGCGTCAGGCTTAGGACGAAGCTCGGAGGTCGAGCCCAACTTCGATAGTACAGGCCCTTCCCTGTCCGTCCCATTTAGTCCCCGTTTGTTCCCAAAACTGAACTCGTCCCCGGCCAAAATCATCATAATCTAAAGCAGTCGAAAAATCAGTACTTAAAATAAGATCAAAATAGTGATGATTTAAGTAAACTCCATTCACAGGTAGAAGACAAACAAACCAAACTTTCAGGGAGGCTGCTGGCTAATAATAAACCAATTAACAGAATGTCAATACTAGAGGGAACTCTATAGGAAAAAGACATATCAAACAAATATCTCTTCAACCACAAGCTAATAAAAGAAATCCGAATCCGAGGACAAGTCTTAGTAAAAGACAAATATAGTTACATATAAAAGTAGACAAATCCAAGAACGTATTAGGATTACAATCGACCATTTATATGCACAAACAAGAACAGAATTAAACAATTATTGGATCAAGTAGTGATAGTTTAGTCTACAGGTGATTTGACCAAAAAAACGAGAGAAAAAAAAAGTCCAAATGAGCAAAAGTTACCTTTAGGATGAGCAAAAGTTACCTTTCGCAATTTCTAATCAAGAAAATATGAAATTATACTAGAGCTTGCAACCCACGCTTCCTGTGTCCAAGAAGAACGGTGAGAAAGGCAAAAGAAATCATAGTGTACACGTAGCTCATATTTGTTGAGAATGTCTCGGATCTCCAGCTGATCCTGCTCCCACCCGCCGATGCCCGTCTTAAACACTTCGATCGGGCCCTTCCCTTGCCGATATACGTGCACCTTCGCCTCGGGCACCTTCGTGTGTTTTTTTCCAACTGGATTTGAGGGGGAGGCAGAGCGATTTGGGCGAAAGAGAACGATTTGGGGCGAGCGATTAGGGCTTGATTTCGTTCCTTTTGTTTTTTTTTCCAATTTTTCTTTCGTGGGCTGTCGGGTTTGAATGTGATGGATTCATTTAAATGAGCCAAAATATTATTTGCAACGTTTGATAAACGTTGTTAAAGGTAAGACTTTTCGCAACGTTCGTCAAACGTTGCTAAAAGTCATCTTTCGCAACGTTTGTCAAACATTGCGAAAAGCCTCACCTTTAGCAACATTTGATAAACGTTGCTAAAGATGACTTTTAGCAACGTTTGGTGAACGTTGCGAAAAGTCTTGCATTTTGCAACGTTTGATAAACGTTGCTAAAAGTAAAACTTTTCACAACACTCAATAAACGTTGCTAAAGGTGTCTACCGCAACATTTTTCTAAAAAACGTTGCCAAAACTCATTTATTAATACCAATGGCAACATTCACCTACTAAAATGTTACCAAAAGATCCTTTTGGCGTCAACAAATGTTGCATTTTTAATGTTGCAAATGACAATTTTTGTTGTAGTGTTTGGAATAGTAGATTGATGGAGAATGTATGGTTTAAAAATAAGGAAAAGTTATTGATGTGATGGAAAATATTATTTTATTGAAAAATGCGTGATTAAAATAAGTAAAAGAATGAGAATAAAAATTTTAATGTGGCTCAAACATGAGCTTATCCAAAACCCAGCAAAGTGAGGGACATTGATTCCATGGGTAACGATCCTGAGGTTACAGCAGTAGAAGAATTTGATGGAGGTTGCTTGATTGAATCTTTGACCACCTGCAAAGGCATGATTGTAGACCCCTTCCAGAGCTTTCAAGAACCAATTTTTAAGGGAGAAAGGTCCAGAAGTTTTCTGGCGCTTAAGAGCCATCGAAAGAGTCGCACTAAAATCAATGAATTAATCTATGTGTACATAGGTGTACACATAGAAGTTGACATAATGTGAGTGTGATAGGACCCACGATACTGTAGCGTAGGCCCACCCCCACTCACATTATGTCATTCCCTATGTGCACACCTATGTACACGTAGCACTTCCCAAAATCAATTCGCACAATAAAAAAAGTGGGGACTAAATAAAATATTATCTGAAAATAGGAAAGTCTTTGAAATAAGAAAGCACTGGCACAAACTTACCCATAGTGGTCTGGATTCCAACGTCGTGAAATTTCAAGTTAGAAGGTTGGAGCAGCCTCTCAACTTCACAATCTTGAGAACTGAAATTAAGAATAGGTGCTATTAAAGCATGAAGTTCGCTAAGAGCTCAACTGCGAAGAGGAGCTCGCTACCCTTTCTGTGGGTTCGCTTTATTTTCCACCTCCATGGGATGATAAATGGATTGGAATACATCTAATGAAAGCTCTCCCTCCAAACCCACAGTATTCCATACCAAAAATGATCCGATCATATGGGTCTACCCATTCGGAGTAAGTTGATTAGGAGCAATGTTGAAGGAAGAAAGAATATCGCAAAAGAAATGATGAGAGAGGACTCTAAGCTCCGTATCCATCGAATGTTTATGAATGGATGCTTTCTTCCTGATTTTTATATGCCTAGGAAGTCAAATTTGATTTAATCATCTTTATCTAGTTGAGAAGTCGTAGAAAGACCATTGATGGCTTAAAGCAAAGCTTAAGAGCTTAAGAAGGAATTAGATTAATCTTGGCAGGTCAGGGGGAACGAGCGAGACTCCAACTTTCAATCAAGCTCTACAGTTTGAAATTGCCTAGGACATAACAATTCTATGTCATCAGGGACGTTAAAGCTGTCCTGAATTTCTTCCAGATCTCTCTCAATAAGGCTGGTTAATATTTTTTTAGGCTTCCAAAACGTTCATGTCACTTACGTTAAAGCTATCCGAATCACTAAAATGCTTGAGCACATCAACCTTAGGTTGAGAACTACTCCCGGCTTAAAAGCTCCACATTAGCCCCAGAAGTGGATAGATTAGTCATAGAATGAGGCAACGCCTCAAAGCGTTGAACTTCCTGAGAGAAAACAAGGTACATTGGAAGGTGTATCCCCAAGCCTAGAGCTTTCAACCTTAGAATCATGAGATATATTTTAAGAGTCACTTTAGGAAGACATCGAAATGAAAAGGTACAATCACAAGATAAAAGGGGATACGTACCTAACTGAAAGTTATGAAGAAAGATAGAAAGAAACAGAAGACAAAATGACCTGGAAGTAAGTGTAGCACCGTAGGCAAGAGATAACACATAAGAAAGTAAAAATGGAAAATCGTAAAAGAAAAGGGCGTATTTATAGGTTCTGATGGAAGGCGTGAACCGTCAAATTGTGTCAGTGATAACCTCGACCATTCAAGCTATTCCACATGATCACAACTACTGAATATTAATAGGCGCCCGATAAGTTTCAAAATGAACAAACGAGCTTACGAGTGATCAACACGCGCATTAAATTCACATAGGGAATTAACCCAGAAACGTGCAAACAAACCATGTAGCGCACCCAAAAAAACTGATACAATCATTGTATGTTCCCTCACTATAGCCCACATCAGCCGTAACAAACAAAGAGAAATATACCCAAATAATGACATGTATAGGCTCCCAAGTTAATAAAAGTGCAGCAAGTCTTGAATTTAATATAAATAATAAAATCGGATTTCGGGGACTACATCCCCAATTCGCAAAGTGTAAGCGATTCGCAAAGGGTAAAAAACAGCTAGCACAAGTGGCAGGTGAGCCATTCCCCCTTTTAGGTTGATAGAAACACCGTTACAGAAGTATATTTTGATAAATATTCAAAAAGTGACTTAAAGGTCAATGAACGCATGACACGTAAGAAAATGAATAAAACGTGATTCTAAAACAGAATCAGTTACAAAGTAGCATGTAAGAGGTCACCGCCTGTTATTCTTTCAAATAACCCCACTTCCTTAAAGTCTTGACGAAAATCTATAAATACTCCACTTAAGAAAAGAAAATAATGTAAAATTCAAATATCTCCATCCAAAAGAATTGTTTATCCTCTTGCTCCGATTTGAACATCAAAATTAGTGAGTTTAGAAGGTGAAAACTTTGGCTAGGTGAGAGGAATTTGTTGATCAGATTTCTATCGTCAATAGTCCACCCTAATTTATCTCAGTCCCATTCTCCCTCATAATTCTTCCTCTATAAAGTCTGTTTCTCTCTCTATGATTGGACGTCCGACTTCAATTCTTAGAGAAATCACGAGGCCAATGCAATGATTTTTGTGTACCTTCATTAATTATTTTATGCTTATGAAAGATTAGTACTAACAATTTCTGAAGTTTTGAATGTTGCAATGTAGTAATTGTAATTGCGATGTAGGATTTATCGTTAAAGTATTATTTGAAAAATATAATTTGAAAATTGTAAACCTTTTTGCCTTTTGTTTGGAAATTGATCAGCCTTTTGTTTGTTTTTATTAAGTGCATAGATCGGTTTGATGAATTTTCAAATTGGGTGCAGATTTCTGAAAGAAATTGCTCATTGTATTCAGTATACCTTTTTTGAGACAAATCGATTGCTATATTTTGAAACTTAATATTTTGATATGCATGTTGTAATGTAGTTTTCTAACCTTACGGTTAATGTATTTGGGGAATTAAATCAAGATTGCTTGTCAAAGTTGAAATACATATGTTAAGAATGATTAATACGAAAAATGCATCAAAATTGAAAGCAAGTCTTACTCGATAGATGATCTCATTTACCACAGTTTAACTATCATAAATACATTTAACATCGTCCAAAGAGATTTATTTTTTTGTTAAAAAACAGAACTATCTTTTGACGATATCATTTTTTCCAATTTTGAGTAGATTCGTCTAGCATTTATTAATATAATCTTCTAATTTATTTTTTTTTTTATTTTGTTTGCTCATTTTCAAATGAAACTATATTTTATCGAAAAAAACGTCATTTTGAGAGACAAATAGCTAAGCTATGCAATACAAGATACTAAGAAGGAAAAAAAATGACATTGTTCCTAAAGTTGAATCGATACCCTCGATGTTCAGTTTATTGATATATAATGTTGTCCGTTAAAGTTTCCATCATAAACAATCAACGTATCTCCATTATAACTTGTTACATTTACCAAGATTTGTTAAGAAGTTAATGGTACAAAATGTGCATGCAACGATCATATTATCCATTTCACTACTACGGTAACGACACTTATGATGTTACACATCGAAGCTCTTGCATGAGGGTATATGATAAATCAAAATGTCTGAAAATATTATCCATTCTTCGGAACATAATTTCGACACATGAAAAGTCTTGAATGTACTTGTAACCATCATTAAGAGTCTATTGTCTTTTCATTTTACGATACTGGTGCTCGTATCATTATGGCATCAAAATGAGTTAAAAATAATATGCATTCACACTCAATGGTGAAGGACAAGCAAACAATATAGCGGTAATGGTATTTAAGATGTCTGTTTACTGAAACCACGTAATTTCAACATCACATATCAAATTAACAGATGTCTTATAAAATTGTTAGATTTATCTATTACTATTATTTTCCGCGTTATACACACTTGCAAATGTTATTTTTATCTTATTATTGTTGTTTTAACAAGCGAAAAGTGTAAAACATACTTGTAATGATAATAATGACTTCATTGTCATATTATTTAACGATAACAACACTCATGTCAATATGATACCCAAGTGCACAAGAGAAGCTCACACACCTATAAATGTTATACTGTCTTAGTAATGTTATTTCAATTTTAATGTTACTGGTGGGATATACGTTGTTAATCAGGGGCGGACGCAAATCTTAAAAGTTATGGGGCACAATCGAACTTGCAAAAAAATTGTGAAAAATTTTACAATCGAAAATTTACGTTCAAAAAAAATCATACCCTATGTAATTTTACATCCGAAAATTTACATAAGATATGACTTTTTCGGATGTTAAATTTCGAAAAATTTTGATGTCATATTCCATATAAAATTTCCTAATAAAATGGTGAAAATTATATTGAGAAATTTGTATCGTAAAAATAATAAATGTTAATGAAATAATTGAATTTTAAAAAAAGTGAGTTAGATGTCTTTTTTTTATCGCAAAAATAATAAATGTCAATAAAATAATTGAATTGTAAAAAAATGCGAGTTAGACGTTTTTTTTAAGACTCACGTTTAACGTATTTTTAACTATTTTCGAAATCTGTTTGAACTATTCGATATGGTAATAATGTAGTTCTCGAAATAAGTTTTGAGATGACATAAGCAATTTGTATATTCGATTAACGTACGATAGTCAAAGAATTTTTAAAATTAGCATGTTATCGAAATTCAAATTTATTGTGATTTTGCCCTGTTTGGTGGAGATTAAAATCAAAGTTAACAATTAATTTTGATAAAAATTAAATAATTATGGATTTAATGAAATATGTTATTAAAATTAATTGTTAACTTTGATATAGATTAAAATTTAGATTTCAATCGAAACAAAACACGATTTTATAAAAAAAAATCTTAAAAGTTGAGGGGGCACTTGCCCCCCAGGACCCCCTAGGTCCGCCCATGTTGTTAACTCTATTGAAATCACTTAATATCCATTATTAAGATATTTTCATAGAACTAAATCCAAAAATTTCTGTTAAAAATGATATTTTAGCATTAGTAATATTATTTTGAGAAGTGAAAAGTGTAAAACGTGCAATTAATGATCAGCTCCACTATATTTTGATATTACGATTACAACACTCACCTTGTTATGACTCAAAATGTTTGCAAAAGCATATATGAGCAATGAAAAACACCTATGAATTGAGCCACGTGTACGTAAACCTTGTTTGACACTCACCTATGTGTAAAAAATCTAGCCATTATTTGGAAAATGTGTTTTTAAATTCAATGTATAGAATTTTGCCAACTAACATTTGTGCCAAACTAAGTGTAAGCTAGATGTACATGTGGCATGATTGAACACCTATAGATGTTAGTTAACCTTAGCAATGTTGATCTGGTATCGATATTCTTGACAAAACCATATGAGCAACGCAAACACCTATAAATATTTATTTATCCTTAGTAATATTGTTTTGAGATGTGAAAAGTGCAAAACATGCATGCAACGATATCATAACTTCGTTAATGTTTCAGTATTAAGTTAACAATATCCACATTATTGTGACTCAAAATGTTTTTAAAAACATATATGAACCATGCAAACATCTGAAAATGTAACTTAGTAATGTTGTTTTGAGATGTGAAAAGTCCAAAATATGCAGGTAATGATCAAAATGATAGCATTGTTGTTTTGATACTACAAAAATGACACTCACGTCAATGTGACTCAAAATGCTTACAAAAACTTATATGAGTACACAAATACCTATAAATGATATTTAGCCTTATTAATCTTGTCCTGAAAAAAGTGGTAGTAAAGTTTAACACTTAGAAAACTTAATTAAGGTTAATACAAGTAAATTAAAACATAAGAAGCAATAATCTAAAACCCAGTAAAAAAAAAAAATTTTTTTTTTTAACGAAATGGAAGTTTTAATTACAGAATACTAGTTCATGATAAATATAAAATAACAACGATTAAATTTAATAATTAAAAGGTTCCAGCATTATGCTGGAGAAGCAGAAACTTGATATCAATCAAAAATAAGAAATAAGTTCAGCACTCTAAAATGTCTTCTTTAAAATGCAAGCAGAATAGTAGAACTTCCGTTTTATTTCTTCACCCAAAATATCATACAATGGAAGACAAAAAGTACTTAAGACACTTTTTTTTTACAATTGACTTCCAACTCAAAAGTAACTAATACAATATACAGCTGATAATGGAAAGGACTTTGCCCAAATAGAAAGAAAATATCGCATTACATAGGAGATTCCGAACTTCAATTTCCTCTTCAAAATTCTCTTGTTTTCATCACTTCTACACATGATTTCCTACACAAAATCCAAAAACCCTTTTTTGTCTACACACGATATATCACATGTATCTTTAGCCAAATGTCTTGTGAGCTTTAAGCTCTTGTTTGCCACTAATTTTGGGAGTCTTAAGTCTTCACATGCACCTTAAGAAAAATGTTTTGTTTACAGGTTTTTTGAGCTCTAAGCTTTGGTCTGCCAATACTTTGGAACTCGCAAGTCGTGCCATGTCATTCTTCTTTCAATAAAAAGAGATCTTACTTGTCATTGAATGACAATTCCTTCAACTTTTCTTTTAAATTGATTCAATTTTCCATCTTGGGAATAACCATGTCTTCATTTAGAGGAGTATAATCCTCATTCTCGTCATCTGTATCTTCTAACATGTCATCCTCTTCCAAAAAAAATTTCTTTTCCATTTGAGGAACTAGGACCCGCTTGGTCTGTTTTAACTGAGGTCTTTTCAGATTTTATTGATTTAATTGAAATATCCTGATTGGATTGGACTGACTTCATTGACACGTCTTTGTCTCCAAAAATTCCTGTCATAACCTCGAGAATGTTTTGATTAACTTAAGGGGAGATAAAAGTATATTATCTTTAGTAATCGCTTATTTGACCGATTGAAGTTGGTCTTCCACAAAGTTTTCTCTCTTCAGAAATAGGATTTGTTTGATTCCTCTAAAGAGGTTTTATCAAACTTTACACGATTCAGAAATTTTTGAAACGGTTTCATTGTTATTAATTTTATACCACCATCTATAATGGAAATCCCGACATGTCAAGAGTTAGCTGCATACTTGATCCTAGCTCAGCACTCAACTCCACAACAGCAGCCTTGTCATCAGCATATTCGCCAGCAGCAATCCTTGCTGTCTAATTTCTGTTACATTCCAAATGCTGCCACTACTTTTCTGTTGTAAATAGATTATAACAGCCTCCTTAATTCAAGGAGCTAACCACCTTTGTACCATCTAGAATATTCTTGCTGTAATTATTTATACCAGCACAATGCTGAAGCAATTACCTTGCATTTCCAACTTGGTATCAGAGCCAAGACAATGGCCAACGCCCCACAAAATACTGATGAAAACTCTGCTCCTGCATCCATCTCAGGCAGCAACACTGGTCCAATGCAAGGGAACAATCACCTCTCACCCTTTGGTGTGAATTTAACCCAAGTAGTATCAGTTAAACTTGACAAAAACAATTTCCTTCTATGGCAGAACATGATACTGCCCATCATCCAGGGACACAGCCTTGAAGGCTACATTCTGAGGACAAAGATGTGTCCTCCAGAATTCATTGGAACTTAAGTAGCTGGTGAAGCTGGAACCAGCATTGAAATGACCAAGAATCCTGAGTACAATCAGTGGATGTCAACAGACCAACTACTAATGGGTCGGCTTTACTCCTTTATGACTCCGGACATTGCCATAAGAGTCATGGGAGCCAGGAACTCAAATGAACTGTGGGCAGCAGTGAAGGAAAGTTATGGAGTTCAGAACAGATCCATGATCACCTTTCTTACTGGTGAACTTCAGAAATCAAGGAAAGGGGCTATGAGCATTGATCAATACCTAAACAAAGTTAAAGTTGTTGGCAGACAACCTTGAAATTGCTGGCAAAGCTGTTCCTCATTCTGATTTAGTTAATCAAGTTCTAGTAGGTCTAGATGAAAAGTACACACCAATTGTTGTTCAGATCAACAGCAGAGATAGCATTACATGGGGTGAACTCCAATCAACACTAATGACTTTTGAAAGTAGGCTGGAGTATCTCAACACAGTAAGAAATGAGATGGCAGGAATTAACCTCGATCAAACCTCGTTCCAACTAGCATCATAATAGATCCTACAGACCACCTTCTAATGGAAGATTCACTGGCTACAGCAGCTTCAGAGGTGGAAGAAGAGGAAGGTGATAACCTAAGAATAACTAACCAAGAGGGGGTGCATTGGTTTTTGAAACTTTTTTGACACTTAGTCTCAAAAAAATACAATACACAAGATATAAATGCAAAGTATAATATTATAACTAAATATGTAAGTTCGATAACTTAATTCAAGTATAGATATAGCACAATATAAATGGAAATGTAAAGTGAAGTGCAATAATATAAAGATAACAAACCAATTTAATGAGGTTCGATACACAATGTGTTTTACGCCCCCGTTAACAAGCTCTCTATCACGAGCAAGGCCAAAATGAACTATGATGGTACCTTACAAACAAGAAGTACCGATCTTTAGGTGACTTACCACAAGGAGCACATATCCTCAGGTAACTACAGCAAGGAGCACATATCCTTAAGAACAATTGAGTTTTTACAAGGCTCTCGAAACCAATAAAGTAGAACTCTCTTAACAAATTATATAATCAAGTCAAGTATTTAGAGAGTTAGGATAACACTTCAATAGATAGCAAATAATAAAGTTCAAGTGTTTATGATGAAAACTTTGATGAATAATTGATAATGAAATAGTTTGTATTTTTGTATCAAAGTTTTCAAACCAATGATCTCTCTTAACAAATAATGCAAGTTAAGTATGAAGAGAGATTTACACTTAAATCAAGTGTTGGCAAAGAAAAACTTCTACCAAGGATGAAGAATAGATGAGATAGTTTTTTACACATCAATGGGAACCAAGTTTGTATCATATATAGCATGATGTTCTAAAGACGTGCATTTCCACAATTCATTGACATATTAAATCACATCTGAAAGTCATCATACTTTATAGAAATAATTGAAATTACAAATTCCATAATGATAACAAGTCACAATTACAATCACATTTTCCTTCATTTTCTCCCTTTTGGTATCAACAAAAAAGGAATGGGGACAATGAAGCTAGAAGAAATTCTCCCTTAAGAGAAATAAGTGAAATGTAATCAACAATTCGTAACAAGTGATATAAATCATAGGTCATGACATATGAATAGAAATAAGTTAAAAGTACGGTTCAAAGTGCATTAAACTCGATAATGTTTTTGAGAAGAATTTTTGCATAGATTAAAACTAAATATAACAATAACAAGAAGAAACCTTCAATCATCCGCTGGTGAAGGAGGGCCTCGAGGATAAATAGAGTGCATGTGTGCAAAGAAAGCCTCCTATGATAAGCTCATTTGCTCCATCCTATGCTCAAGAGCATCCATTCGGCTAGTGATGGTAGTAGCAAGGGAATCTATTCATCCTTGGAGGATGTTGAATTGATCTTCAGACATTTGTCGGCCTGGAGTAGGTACAACTTGTAGAGTAGACCTACGTCTTGCTTGCGGTGCATCATCGCCATCACCACCATCATCGACGTCATCACCACCCATTTCTTCTTTCGCCTTTCTTTAGTGAATGGTCAAGTAATAGGGCCCGAAGCATTGCCGAAGCCTTAAGTGTGACATACCCATTGTCCGTTTCCTTTAACGATTTGCATGCGTTTAAGGGTGTTAATGTTAATGACGTCGGTGTGTTTTGATTTAAGAATGGGCTCATTGTCTAATGGCACGTTGAAGTGCTGAAAGATTTTAGTGAGTAGTATGCCATAAGGTAAACATAAGATACGAGGAGACGAGTGAATGTGCCGAATGTGTTTCAAGAAAATGTATGAGAAGTCCAATTGACAACCAACAAGAAGTGAATCAAGAATAAATAAATCAAGATGATGAACTTCTTCAAAGTGACCACTCCTAGGGATGATAATATGTAAAAATTGCACGATGAAGGACTTTGCATGGGATGGTAAGATGGTTTAGATTTAAGGTCATTTCGGTGGTCAATGGTCGATCGGTGACACGACAACATGCTTCAAGTTCATTATAGCCCTCGAACCTAATGGGATAGTTTTGGACGTAGGCATAGTTATCACATTCTTCTAACTCAAGTATTTCCCGAATGGGAGCCCTATCGAGTGTAATACGTTTTTCTTTGATAGTGCACATGACATGGTTTGAATAAAAGGAGAGATCCCTATAGAATTCAAGAATTAATCTAGGGTAGGCATTTTCGGAGATCAAAATAACATTCTTCCACCCAATACCCTCAAAATACTCTTATATCCTAAATGAGGGACCTTGAGGTTAAAATTCGAAGACATCGATGGACTTACCGATTAGGATGGGGCAATCGGTGAAACGGTCGGGTATGGCCATGTCTACTTCAACATTCGATGAGCGTGTTTCTCCCTTCTTTGATTTCTTCTTCAGAGGCATGGTTGATTTGAATTTTTCGACTAAGAGTTAGAGATTTTTGGTTTTTCGAAATTTTAGTGAAGAATTGAGTGAAAAATTATAGGAAATGTATGGGTAGCAAATCTTTGAAGAGAGTTA